TGATAATGTTTGTTAGGCAGATTTTTTATACCCTCAGCCTTATGGCTAATGAGGGTATATACACTTTGATCCGGTGAAAATGTGCCTCATCGAGATATTGATTTTAGACACATGTTTCTTTGGACCAAATCAGTTTCAGAAAATATAGGGTCGATTTACACATGTCCGTTCGTTTGGCTGGCTGGCTGGTGCGCACGATAACTCTCGAAGGGAATAATCAATTTCATCCATTTGCATTTAATAGTTCTTCCAAATATAGTTTAAGTTCGAAGATGCTGAATATCGGCACTCCTTCTGGTACCTCCCCCACAAAATGGTCAAAATTATGCTAAAAACTAATTTCATAATAACATGCAAACGGAACATTCGATTTTAACGAAACTTTGTACAACCTATTATCTTTACCCACAGAGGGTCAAAATATTTATAAATGCAATATCAGGCGATTATTGCATTGGTATATTATCTATACCAATTCCGAAGATTGGACCCAATAGTTTATACAATTTTATCAATATTAAATCCGAAACCTCATTGATAAAAACATATTTCTTATATACAGCTAATAATAACATCTGTGTTTAATTCCGAAGACCTCCGCAAACCATAAGCTGGGGGTATATCTCTGTCGGTAACACCGACTGACACTCTTTTACTTGTTTCCAATGAAAATCGAAACTATCAAATTATAGCTAATTCGGTTGGGGCTACCCTAAAAAGAACAGATAAATCCCATTTTCATTTTCCATTTTCAGAATTTCAAAGATCTGTCATCAATATTGCGAGCTATATATACATGGCTATATCGACTTAGAAATTTATTCTGACTATGAATAAGTAGGATATTAGATGAATATTTCCAGGTTTCATTATTAGCTTTAAGCGAAATTCCTTCTATAAACTTTTTAGCACTTTTATTCAGCACTTTTTTAAATTTTTTAGCACTTTCTAGCATTTTTTTAAACAAAATCTAGCATTTTTTAATGACAAAGTTTTGGCAACACTGGTCCTAGGTAATGGGGCTGCCTAGAAACAACGCCCCTAGAAACAACGCCCCTTAATTTTATGCAGTGGTTGGGGTCCTTGTTTTCTTAATTTAGTGCTGACATTTTCCCTGGGTGAAAATTGGTCTGATGTAACCTGTCCTAGGTAATTGAGCTGCCATCTATCTTTTGTAGGAATCTCGAACATACCGAAAGTGAATAGCACTATACAAATTCGTATTGGAAACCCCTGTAGCACCGGGATTCACTCCCTATAGATGATTATTTTAGCGCCTCTATAAAGATTTCCTTTTTTTATTAATTAGATTTAATTTCCGATTGTAATATTTTCATATTTACAACAATTTTTACAATGGCAACCCTGGTAATTGGTTGTGTGCTGTCTGCTTATTTATTTTTCAACCGGAAAATATCTGTTCCTCAACAACAAGAAAAACTCACACAATATTTTTTCGTATGGCCCTGGGTCCGGCATTTGATTGTACTTTGGAGAGAGAGACACGATTTGATATTCATTGGTGGTGAATTTACGGATTTCATAGACTTTTTAAGGGACTACGGAAGAGAGATTTCTAATTAAGAGATATATAAAGAAAAGTAAAAGCGGTAAAAATGAGCAAAGAAGGCAAATACAAAAATCTATAGGGAACATATTAGAAGGTAATAAAGGTGGGTAAAATATTCACACCTGCAAGAAAAAAATAGGGGAGTCACAAAAAATTTGTGAATTCGGTCGCTCATTTGGCTGGATTATTGGTTATGTGCAAATCTTTACATTTGGAGTATATGATCAGAATATATATATTTTTCATCTTAAAAGTAACTGGCTAGAGTTTGGTAGATGGGAGCCTACAAATGTGAGTTTCCTTTGTAAACATATATTCCGCTCAAATATGTTCGCAATTTCAACCAAACACTAATTCCATGCCAAGTCCTCAATAATTGGAATTTGGCACATGAAATGTTCTGCATTTTCTTTGTTCCTACGCAACTATTATTTTGCAAGAACATTGCGTGCAAAAGTCATAAAAAATGTTAACAGGTAATAACGAAAAAAATCAGAACATTTTTATGTTTCTCCGACGACGGTACAAAAATTCCAGAACATTCATCTTTTGAAAAGATACAAGAACCATCATTGCAACAATAGTTCACCAATTGAGTGCATAACTCATTTGCAGCCAATAAAAAAAAAATATTTATTTTTTCTAAACTAAAATTAAATTTGTGTTATTGTTGTTGCAGTTAACAATAATCATAATTACTTCGAGGCCGAAAAGATTTCGACAACAAGAACCCATAAAATATACAAACATACCGACAGACATGTAGAAATACCACCAATAGAATTTAGATGCAAAAATAAACAAATCAAAAACCCAAAACCAAAAAAAGATATTCTGTTTAATGTGGTTGCATGCACCACAAAAAATATGGGTCATCTGCAAGAAGAAAATTTGTTCGGATGGATGAATGCATCATATCCCAAGCAAAGGGATCTCCCTGCTTCTTGTTTGAAACAAATAAAAAACGGCAACAAATTACCAAAACACAGCAAATTATAAACAGACAGTCTGACGGCTCCCTGTTGCTCGGGTGGCAATAAAAATTCATAAAAAAAGTGGACGAACTGTCGGCCTGACTGATCACTCGGTTGGCGATGGTCGGCGGATTGGGGGTTGACGTAATTAACTTGCATACAAAGTATTCGAAAATATGTGTGCGTGTGCAGCAGCAACACAGTACATAAATAAGCAAACAATGAAGGAGATTTTCTGCTTTAAGTACATAAACATATGCAGGGCCAAATAATTTGTTATACAAGGAATATATTTTTGGGGAAAGTGACCAAGAGGAACAAAAGAAAAAATAATTTGGCATAGATTTTTGTCAAATAATGTGGCTCATACAGTGATACAAACGTATTAAAATAAGTGAAATGAAAATTTTAGTAATTAAAAAGGTCGACTTCGAATGCGGCTGTATCCCACTCCAGATGGAATGAACGAAGGCATTGCCAAATGAGAATAAACAAAATGGGGGCGCAGGAAACGAGCGCCACCCAAAGGAAAATGGCAATACTAAATAAGCAAGGAGACCTACAGCTGTAAAAAATTCAAAAATACGTTACATCTATACGACGATATATAACTGCCACATCGTGAATGATAGGAACAAAATATTTTAAATGGGGATTTTAATATTCGGAAAAATGATCCTACTCTAGATAAAATGCATCCGAAAAAGTCGGCAGAAGAATAAGCAAAGATCTCAACCACTGCAGACAATTCAATGAGACATAGTCTCTAGGACACGATAGATGACAGCTAAGACAGCTTACATCATATGAATCATCTACTTAGCAGGAAAAAATTAATGATTAACGATACTAACACAATGACTATTCGAGTAAGATGACGATGATGGCCTTCCACAAAGTCCTATATAGATAGGAATCACGAAGAAGGAAAAAATGACACAGTTGAAATGCAGCCGAAGTAGCGCCCTGGAATTATAATGTCCTGGAATTATAGCGCCCTGGAATTATAATGTCCCCAGACGAAAATGGTAATACTAAAAAAGCAAATATCTCAACCACTGCCCAAAATTCAAGGATACATTGTTTCTAGTCAACTATAGGTGACAGTACCATCACATAGAATAGCCTACAGCAGATCAATCATCTACTTAGCTGGAATAAGAAAATATGGTTAACCAAACTAAACAAAACTTATCTTTCTAGGAAGATGACGATGTTTTGTGGAAGCTCCGTTAATATGGTTTTATATATTTTTTAAATATAGAGATGACATCATAAGAACACCAAATAGAAATTGCAGGAGATCCATTCCAGGATCCAGAGGAGATTGGCAACAATAAATATGCAAGGACCCCAGCCAATGCCTTTCATTTAAATAGGCGTTGTTTCTAGGCAACGATTGGTGGCAGTCTCAATGTCTAGAACAGCTTGCAGAAGACACATCATCTACTTCGCGGGAATAAAGCAACGAAACTACAACAAGGACCAATCGAGAAAGATTAGTGGAAGTCCTAGAATTTCAAAAAAGAATAACCCATCGAATAAATAAGCAAGGACCTCAACCATTGCACACAATTCAAGGGGGTGTTGTTGCTATGCAATGATAGATGGCAGCTCCATTAAATAGGACATGTTGCAATAAATGATTGAACTAATCCATGCAATGACTTGGAGAAGATCTATTTTCCCAAGAGGATTAACAAAGGAAATAAAATGGGAGCCGCCACCCAGAGGTAAACGACAACAATAAATAAGCACGGATCCCAACCAATGCAATAAAATTAAAGGAGGCGTTGTGTATAATCAACGATAGATGTCAGCCCCCTCACTGAGGTTAGTCAACAGAAGACCAATCATCTAATCGAGTAAGATGACGGTGGCGATGCTTTTTGGAAGCCCTATGCGTCACTCAGATGAAAACATCTACACTAAATAAGCATGGATTCAACCTCTTTAAACATAATCGTTTATAAAAACGTAATAGGCCTGAGAAGAGATTCTCCCGCCTTTTGCCCGTCGTTATAAGCGTTTTCGGCTGTATTAAAAAAACACTGTAGCACTGTGTAACTTTAATATCACTGTAAAATAAATTAACCCAAAAATTGTGTTCCCATAATGCAAAAATTTGTACGTAGGTATGTTTGTATGCGTGTGTGTTTTTAACATTAAAGTAATTAGCATTAACAACTCAAGAAGAAAAACAGGTCAAATATATTTAGAAGTATTCTGGCAGATATTTAAGTTTGCAGTTGGCACAACATAAAAACTAAAAAAAAATATGCCACACAAGAATACCAACGATGACTGACCGACAGTCATCCTTAATGGCTGGGCCAGCCAGAAACTCATCATGTTACATGAATCATTAAAAAAAAACTTAAAACTAACAATAAAGAAACCAAGAGTATATTAACTAAAATAATCATAAATAGTCGAACATATTTCCTTCCACTTACCTCTTGCAAAGCCTTTTTATCTGGCACTTTACTATTTCGTAAAATGCGTATCACATTTTTCGCTCCCTCGACAACGGCGGCTTCGATGCGTAAACGATGCCGCAATTCTTCAATTCTCTCCTCCAGTGAGGTTTCCAAACGTTGTGGCAGCATGCCACCCACACTGCCCGGACCACAACTGCCACCATTATCGGCGGAATCCATTGCCGCCACTTGTTGGGACAATTTATAGGCATGCTCTTTGTTTTGCTTTACTTTCAGTATACGCAAACGTAAGAATTCAATTTTTGCCTTAGAATCTGTTAGCATTTGTTGTGCCTCGCCGAGGAGTTTTTTATCACGCCCATAGTGGCCACTCTGCAATGATTGGATCATATTTTCAGCGCCATTTTTCACTTTCATTTCAATGTTGAGTTGTTTCTCCAGCGAAAGGAGTAGTTTATCGTTGGCGCTAAGCTGTTCATGGCCACCGGAGATGAGACCGTTGCCTTCACCGCTTTTGCCATCAATTGAATTGCCGCCCAGACTGGCATTGGGTGTGGTGGGTGAGAGGATATCTGCAAAGGTAAACAAACAAATGAATATTATTTTAATTAATTGATAACAACAAAAAAGGATTCAATGATATTGTAACAATATTAAATTCTATAAATAGTGTATCCCTTTGCGTCACTGCAGTGACCTTTAAGCGGGGCAGGCATTATTTATATCCGCTGTTATCTGATAGCTTTCATTCAACCAGCCACTAGTTTCAAAGTCATGTCTGTTTGACGTTTGCCTTTAACATTCATGTCAAAATTTATATAAACAAAGTGGACATCATCGTCAGAGAATGGGGAAAATGTGCCAACAAAAATAAGAAATATGAAATGAACCATCCATCCGCATAAATCAAAATTCTATATGTCTGTCAAAATCCCATGACATAGCAACATATACCACCCACAGTGGGTCCAAGAAAACAAAACACAGTCATTTATATGTCTGATCTGGATGTTGCTTTAGAAATTTCCGACGGCCTCTCAAAGGGAATAGCCGATGTTACACATCATAATATTTCTGGTACTTAGAGGTAAAATTCAACTGAAGTCGCCTGATATTAAAATAACCGACATCGCACAGTGTCACGACCGCGGCCAAAAATGGTCAAAACCAAGTACCACGGAGGACAAATTTTTTGATGAGGATTGATAGAAAACACTCCAAATAGAATAAATATGAAATTTTATATCGATATGTCAAGTAGTTTTGTCTCTACAAAGGTTCAAATCTGATAATTATTTATAAACTGATTTTTTACTATATTTTCGAAAAATGGGTGTGTTTTTCTGATGCTCAAATATTTGAATATTCAACTTAACGGTTATTATAAAAGTGTTTATTTTGGTTGCTGTGGATGTAAAAACTAGGATTCGCTTTAGTTTGTATGTATATAGATATCATATGGTGTATACAGTCGTCCACACTTGTAGTACTTAGTTCATCAAATTTTTAAAACAAATTTTGAAATTAGTGGAGCAGAAAAAAAAGTTTAAAAAAGGTTAGCTCTAATTTTTTTTTATTTGAGTGGTGAAAAGTGTGTTATTTAAGGAATAAAAAAAATTAGCTGCGGAGTCCTGCGGTCCTAAGAGTTATTTAACTTTTTTGGTGACAACCTTATTAAAAAATATGGAATATTCATGAAATGGTTAGAAGCGAATGGTCAAATATGTTATGTATACAATTAAATAAGTTATTGAGGGTCAAATAGGAAGGATAATATGTATTCAGAACATAGAAAAAATACAATAATTTACATAAACTTTGCAATTAAGTGGTAAAAACGTTATTCGAAGCGAAGATATGGGAGAATTGGTTTTTAAATATAGCTTTTAAATAAATTTTCAGTCAGTTTGAAGATTATACTTATTTATCAGATCATTTGAGACATAATCTTATAATCTAAATTTAGATGTCGCACATGAATTACATTTGTGGAAAGTTCATACAGAAAAATATTAGTTCATGGCATGGGATATGCAAAGTGCAGTACAATACCTTTTGAGCGACTTTCACACGATGCTAACAAGTCATGCCAACAAATAATTAGTAGCAGCCCGAACTTTTGTTAAAGCCGAGTTAAATAAGGATATTTAGAATTTTATATTACAATCCGACCTTCTAATATCCTTAAACAGCCATAAAGTAAAGGCCCGAGATTATAACGTGGATAATACTAAATCGTACATTTGGGAAGACAATATTTTATATATATCTCTGATGTGTGTTTTGAAAAATTGAAATTGATAAAAAAGTAATTTATTAGTAAATAAAGTATATCAAATATTTTATTATAATAAAAATAACCAAAATATTACTGCTATACTTAATTTAGCTGCATATAACGATTTTATAGTACAGAAAGTTACATTTTAGGGACTTTTGGTATGGTAGGTACCTGAAATATGGGCCAACAACTGAATTACAGCACCTATTACTTTCTTCGCCCAAATTTGATGTAACTTGGAAGAAGACATGAAAATTTTCCTGCAATTTGGATGAATATAAAAAATTTATAGGGAGGTATATCAAATCTTGGCCCAATCTACCCAGTTTTTGGTCCATTGCTTTATAGGCATAAGTAAATGTAAATTGCCAATTTTCATTGAATTTGGTTGAATATTAACGATTATATAGCCCAAAATAGTAAAATTTTCAAGACCCTTTGTATGGGAGGTATATCAAATCTTGGTCCGATCTACCCAGTTTTTGGTCAGTTGCTTTAGAGGCCTAATTAAATGTAAATTGCCAATTTTCATTGAATTTGTTTAAATATTAAAGATTTAATAGGCCAAAAAGGGTGACATTCTCAAGACCCATTGTATGGGAGGTATACGAAATCTTGGTCCGATCTATCCAATTTTTTGTCAGTTGCTCTTTAGGCCAATAATAAGCACATGTACCAAATTTCATTAACTTACGATAACTCCTTCTATTTTTGGCCGCTGTTTATATGAACTCGCGACATAGTGCATCGGTATCAACATCAATACATAAGTAGGACACAAAATAGGAATGACAGAAGATAGCGGCACCCAGCGGAAAATGTCGATACTAAATCAGCAAGTACCCAAACCACCGCCCTATATTCGAGCAGGCATTGTTTCTGTTTCTAAAAGGCCAGAATCGGCCAAAATAGTATTTGGCAGGTTCATCTCGTATGAAAAAAAGAAAACTTCTTCTGATAAAATATCGATATATCCTCCCATTCAAAATTAGACGGAATATATTTTGGATGTCATAGTTTCCACATGATATTCTTTTCAAGGATTATCAGAAATTACGTACTTTAAAAGAAGATCGAAAAGTCGGTCTCGTAGAACGACATTTAAAATGGAGACTTATCGATATATACGTTTTAGACCTCAAGTATTCTTATACCAAAAATTTAAATGAAGAATACTGGACAATTTCGATACCATAAATTTTATGTTTACCACGGATCCGATTTGAACGGTAAACGTAGGACAACATAGAGGACAATTGTTCAATACATACATACGCCCATATTCTCTAAACAGTATTTTGGATTTTAGATCGTTGTTATTGGATTTAATACAATAACCGAAATAATAATATATTCAAGGTTTTATTATGGATTTCTGGATCAACGCCTTCACTCAAACTTGGAACATCCAAACCATCTTGATTGGCTCTGAAAAGTGTTGTAAATAAAATTACTCCTTCAACTTATTATCGTAATCATCATGTCTCTGAAAAAAAATTCCTTCAATACTGATTATTTTCTTAGATTAACAATTTCTGACTTGTGGTGGCTGACCCAAGAAAGCTTTTTCAATTTCCGATTTATTTATCTTTTTCCGTGTTCGTAGTGACATTGAAAATATCAATGTTTTCTTTTAAAGAAAACAAAACCTCATTATTATTGTAATGTGCCCAACCCTTTTTAAAGTCATCGGATTTCCTGACATCTACTGCAGCATGACATTTGTACAACGCCATAAACTGGATAAAATTCGTCTATGGTGTGACCCTGACATTCAATGTGTGAAAGTAAACAGGGGTCTGTGAATTGTTAACCTGGTTTAGCTTCCTCTTTCGAAAGAAATCAAACAAATGGTAATTCAAAATAAAAACTGGAGGACGACGGAACGGGAGTTGAATATAGAAGAAGAAGAAGAAGGAAAAAAGACGGAAGCCTCCAGTGGCCCCATTAATTCAATTCAATCTATGGAAGGAAACATAACATACAGTTATAGGTGCCTGCCTATCTTCTCCAGCCAGACTGCCATGTGTGTGCGCCGTATTGAATTTTTTTAATTTCCGGTATGGCACCAACCGAACGAACGAACATGAGCATGTTCATGCTGATGATGATCATCATGATAATCAGACCCATTGGCATATTCCACACATTGTAATATGATTGCCGGGTCGGTTGGCTGACAGACTGGCTGACGAACGGAATAAAAAACAAGAATGATGATTTTCGCTGACAACCTCTTTATCAGTCAAAGTTTATCAACGACAACAACAGTTTCAGTTTTTTCTTTCTTTTTTTAATAACAACAAACGGGGGCAGAAAGAAACACAGCCAAGGATCGATGAATGATGGCGGAATGAATGGATGGTTGGAATCATCATAAAAATATGAATAAGGTGATGATTGTCTGATGTCCCATCAACCAAATGTTAAATTGAGAGGGTTTTGGAGGCGGTGAAGAAGTCAACAGACAATTGATGCCACACATTGTCGTGGCTGACGGCCTGAATAGCTGCCTGGTTGGTGTGATGATGCAATTCAATTCGTTTTTAATTTTTTGTCAGACAACAATTGTGGACCTGAGAAAAAAATGAAACGCAAATAATGATATGGATCCCATCAACAATGTAACATATGCCACTCTGGATGGATCCATCCATACATTCCTCCATGACAAAGTCAAATATTGAAGGGAGGAAAATGATGAAGTAAATATCTTCAAAGGGAGCGTTAGGTAGCTGACAGGTCTTTATTAAAACTACTGCCGGGTTGTGTCACAAAATATTCGCATGCGGTTTATCTATCGCTTCATGCCTCTGTATCGAATTTGTTTAGATTTTACCCTCCCAAATGATAGAGTTATATCTTTGCACAAAATCTCTTCGGTGCAAAAGAAAAAAATTAAAAACAAGGAAGGCAATTTTCTTTATCTCAGAGATTCTCTGCCGCAACTTCGGTTGTGCGGGTCTTTCCCACCCATTTCTCTAGCAATAGGAGGTGGTTATGTGTGTCTTTCTTGTTGGATGACACTAAACCAACGAAGCCAATAATTATAAACGAATATCAACAACATGGTAGCGGAATTGTAGGAGCAGAGCAGCAACAACAACGTCGTCATCATCAGCAGCATCAGTTCATCGTATCTCATCTCTAATGAATTGAACCAATTCTTGGCAATCGACCAAGTTTTTTGTTTGGTTTGATTTTTCTTTCCGTTTATACAGAGTAGCGGCATTATTAGAGCTATAATACGAGGGTGGGATTGACAGAAAACAAATCATGCCATAAAAGTTT